TAAAAAAAAAAAAAAAAAAAAAAAAAAAAAAAAAAAAAAAAGATCTATGGGAAGGTGACTAGCTCTATACTAACACATAACAAGTGCGCACATGTTGAGCTGGGTTCTTTCTTCTTTCATCATTTTAAATAAGAACAGATGTTTATGAAAAATAATAACACCTACTTAAGGGTATTGTCATGGTGACTAAGTTAAATAATATAAAGAAAGCAACAGTTTAGGAAATAGTGCCTAGGAAACAGCCCACGTCGTGTCTTATTTAAGCCCCCCTTTTTGCTGGTAGGCAACCCATGCTCAAAGAGGAAAAGTCAAATTACAGATGCTGGGTCTGGAATTTAAACACAGAATCTCTGGCTCTAACACTTAAGTATTCCTACTGGATCCACAGAGAAAGGAGCAATGATTTTTCTTTTTAGCAAGAACTGAAGAGCAGTGCTGGCCATTCTACTGTCTCCATCCACCTGTAGAAATCAAACCCTTCTGATTCCTTTGCTCATGTTTGAATGAGGCCCCTTGATGAAGGACACAGAGCAAGTGATGTAGATTCAGAAAGTAATGGTTCCATTACTACAGATACAAATTGGCAACAACCACGTAGGTAAGGAATAGAAACCATGTATTGAATATAGCTCGAGTCACAGGATGAAGGTGAGGGTCAAATGTGCAAAATGTCAACGTTGCTTATGATAAATGCCCTCAGCAACTGTCATCACTGTTCCCTCACTTATCGAGCCAGCCACCTTACCCACAGAAAGCTCCTCCATGAGTTATCCATAAATGTTCCCAACTTTTGACTTTGCTTTCCATAGCTAGACAACAGTTTCCAAGAATGACTGTGTCCTCACCTGTGCATATAACAGAAATTTATTTGTCAAATGTGTGTACATGTACATATAATCTCTTAAAGAGGTGAATAAAATAATAATGACATTTACTGAGAATTAAAAATAATCTGATTTTTGTGAAAGCAACTTAGAGTTAACAAAAACAATTTACAATAAATATAAATTGTATATGCTAAGATGTGTCTTAATGCTTACTTTAAAATAAACTTTTCCATTACATTTCCAGGGTACTAGTTCTTAAACAGAGCCTGCACTATAAATACCACATTCAGCTACAAGTCATCACCAAGAAAACAAGAGTATAAAGCAAACCCTATAGGTCATTGGATCAGTCAACAACCATTTATTAAAAAGTAAAGAATATCAAAATGATCCAGTAGGTATCAGTTTATCTTAGTGTCAAAGCCAGAGAGACAATGAAATGAGTAAGAACCTCAGCTCCAGTAAACGAACGAAACAGAAACAGACTCATAGATACAGAGAACAAACTGCACTGCCAGATAGGAGGAGAGTTGGGGACTGAGTGAAAAGGGTGAAGGGGTTCAGAAACAGAAATTGGGAGTTATACAATAGTCATAAGGATGTAAAGTACAGCATAGGGAATCTAGTCAATAATATTGTAATATCTATGTACGATGCCAGGTGGGTACCAGACTTATCTGAAGGATCACTTCGTAAGTTATATAAATGTCTAACCACTATGCTCTACGCCTGAAACTAAAACAATATTGAATGTCAACTATAATTGAATTTTTTTAATTTCAAAAATAAAAGCAAAACAGAGAAAATAAAAAATAACATCAGTTGCAGATTAGTAGAGACATAGGTTCAAATCCAGGCTCTTCTACTTAGCTATATTGAGATGGAAAAGTTACTTAAACTTCTCAAAGGCTCAAATTCTACTTCCTTAACTGGGTATAATAACAATGCCAGGGTTCTTAGGAGACTCAGATAAGGCAATGCACAGAAAAAACACTGATGCAATTAGAAACACAAGAGAAAAATCACGATAAATAGTGAGAACAAGCCCATGGAGACATTGACACGGACCAGAAATGACAATGATTTTTCTTCCTAATTCCTGCTTTACCATAACCAAGGCTAAGCATTTTTAATTCATCCTTTAATTTATTTGCAAACATAAAATATTTTTGGTCACAATGTAGATGTGGTATTGTTTAAATGTGCAACACTTTTAAATGTCCTTAATAATCCCTGAATAAATTACTGTGGCCCTCAGACCCACCGTGTCCAATTTTTTCTCAGGTAGCTTCACTGTACAAAGAAAACCAAACAGTGAGGACATGGTGAGGAAGACCAAGGCTCAATATTAATCTAATAGTTAATTATTCGGCCCCCCACTTCCCTTATCTGGGGAGTTTCAAGAGTGATACCGTTTTAGAATTAAAATGTTTATTAGACATAAACAAATCAACCCTGTTTTTAGATAAAAGGAATTTCCAACATTAGTGTTGAAACTTTGATAATAGAGAATACAATATCCTCATAGCTTATGATAACAGATTTATGATTTTAAGTAATTTAAAAGGGGACTGTCCTAAATGCAATGCATTGCCCTGGATTGAACTCTAGAATAGAAAAGGGACAGTGGTAGAAAAATTAGCGACATACAAATAAATCTGATGTTTCATTAAGAGTAATACATCAATATTCATTTCATGGTTTTTACAAATATGCTCATGGTAATATAAGATGATATTATTAAGGAGAACCAAGTGAGGAGTGTACTGGAAATCTCTATACGATCTTGGAAACTTTTCTATTAATCTAAAAATACACAAAAATACAGTTTTAATTTAAAATAATACAATAATTGTTCAGCTTCTGCTATCAAAATGCTAGCAATTACAGCTTCATCATTTACTAGCCATATGTCATTGGAGAAGCCACTGAGCCTCAGCATACTCTCCCATCAAATAGTTACAATAACACTTGTTCGAGCTGCCTGGCCCATGAGAGGCAAGTCAGTTATTATGAGTGTGCTCTGCAACATATAAGTCAAAAGGAAGATGGGAAATATTAATATCAGCATTGTTTTTAAACAGTGTGCATATACACAAAATGAGCTGGAAAATGGAACCCATCATAAGGATAAAATATGCTTTAAATTATGCTTTTTAAAATTATATTAATTCTAAAATTGCAGTTAAACTACTTCATTCATGTAATCCTTTTGGAAATGTTTTAACAACTATTTCCAGGATCATAAACATGTTTCTGTTTCTTTTTCTAGACCCTAACACTAAAAAAATTGTTCTAAAAGTGAAATGAGGTAGCATAGTTTTATAATGAAAGATGATGCATGTCTTTTATAATAGTAAAAATTTAGAAAGATCTAAAATGTTCAATTATAGGAAGATGTTTATGTAAATCAGACTACTACTCATTAAGATGCTGTGACTAAAATACTAAATATGAGGACACAGATGGTGAAGCACATTTATAATGTTAAATGAGAAAAAAATTGTAATGATGCTGTTTATTTGCACAGACATTTTAATATAATTTTAAAATCTAGAAGAGAACATATGAAAATAGACTTATTTTCAATATGTATCTTAATATAATTATGAGTTAACATTAAAAATCAAGGTTAGAACCCACAACACCATATTTCCCTTCATCTAAACAGTTAAAAAAGGAGATGGGCTTTGAGGATAGCTTTATTATCTCCAGTATAACTAATTTGCATAGATGGAACTAACATAGAATCATATACTAAAAATCATAAACTAACGTAGATCTTCTGTAAATAGCCGTATCATTGGCCCAGCCCTTCCCATCCTCTATACTCACTTTGACATCAATTTGAAGGTCATGTACTCCTATAGGAAGCAGCTGACTGTTAACATTTTTCCTGGAAGATTCCAAGGTCTTTCCTCTCTTCACAGCCATGCATTAATATACTGGAGCTGCACAGAGGCTGCTCAGGGCCCCTCCCAGCCATGAACTGTGGGCTCTGGGCCCTCACTGGGGCTGTGGCCTTGGGAATTTTGCCTTCCCACTCTCCCCACTATTTCTTTCCCATCCATTTTAGCAGCAAACTAATCCTAGCATCAGTCATTCTGAAAATAATAGAAATTCATGTTTCAACCTCAAAGTATATATAATAGTCAAAACTACCACGAAAAATTAGTAGGAAGGCTGTCATAAGTACTATTTTGCAATTATATTTCAAGCAATGAATTTTAGATGCATTTATAGGTACCTACATGGGCATATCAGTCACATTTGCATGTATTTTTCTAAATAAATATA